TTATAACTCTTCGTGACCAATACTAATATCTTCAAGGTGTGTGATTGAAAACTATGTCTCTTTTTGAATCGGGAGCAAGACAGGTGATATTTCTAATCGTGGCATGAAATGGATTCAGAAGGTCAAGAATGATAGATTTAAAGCAAATGATAATTACATACTTTATTTTTGTAATCAGTTATCTGTATTTGTTTTGATATTTAATTGTTTGTCATTTGTTTATAAGTTGTCTGTATATATTTTGAGTTGTTTGTAATGACTTGTCTGTCATGTTATTGTGAGTTGTCTGTAAGAGTGGGGAAGTTGTTTGTAACTCATATTTAGTTGTTTGTCATTTCATTGTGAGTTGTATGTAATTTATGGGTTGTCTATTGTCTGTCTAGTTAAACATATTGTCTGTCTTTTTAATAAAGCATATGCCAAAATGGTAATTCACAATAAAGTAATGTATGTGTATACTTATTGTCTGTATGTTTACACTTAATGTCTGTCTCGTAATACTAATTACATCTCAAAAATAAACATCACAAATTACATACAGACAACTCAAAACAAACAAAAATACATAATTAAAGATGAGAATAAAAAATATTGTTTGTGCCCGATTTAGATCTGCAAAAAAAGTTGTGCCCGAACAAAAATACATAATTCAAGTTGTGACTCCTATTTTTCTGTGCGGGTTTAGATCTGCAAAAAAAGTGAGAGGTTTTGAGATGAAGAAAACAAGAAAAGACAAGAAAAAAGATGGAGAAAGGGAGATAAAGAGAGAGTTATTTACGAAGTAGGAGGGAGAAGCAAAGAGGAAAAGAGGGAGAAGAAAGTTGGGTGTAGGGAGGGAGAGAAACGAAAATGAAAAGAGGAAAAGAGGGAGAAGAAAGTTAGGGTCTGTTTGCAACAGCTTCTGCTTTTAAAAAAGTGCTTTTTTTAATGAAATGGAGAGAAGTGATTAAATAAAAGTTGATAGTGTTTGAGAAAAAAGTGATTTTGAAAAGTAAAAGTGGGTAGTGTTTGGTAAAATAAGTGCTTTTTGTGTAATAGAAAAGGTAAAAGCACTTTTGACGCGGAAGCCGAGAAAAATAAAAGTTGTAGTGTTTGGGAAAATAAGTGCTTTTTTAAAGCCAAAAGCTGAGAAGTGCTTTTTTAGAAGCAGTTGCAAACCAACCTTTAGGCCTGGGAGGGAGAGAAACGAAAAAAAGAAGAGAGGAAAAGAGGGAGAAGAGAGCCACGCGCAGGGAGGAAGAGGAAAAAAGGAAAAGCAGGAAGGAGGGAAGGGAGAGGTAATACCGTGGAAAAGGGGAGGGGAGGGGTTAAATGAGTTAGAAAAGGGAGGGGGTGGGCTTTTTATGTTGTGTAATGCTGTGTACAAATGCTGTGTACACATAGCATTACTCATATAAGATGGGACTCAGACAATAGTCACTCCTCCCACTATCTCTGTCACACTCTCCCCTGCAACCCACCTGCCAATAACAATGGAGAACAGCCCCCAGCAGGCGGCGGCGGCGGCCCAGATAGCCGGTGGGTACCCTCCGGCGCAGCCGCCGTACCATCATCTCCTCCAGCAACAGCAAGAGCAGCTGCAATTGTTCTGGAACTTCCAACGGCATGTGATTGAGCAGACGAACGACTTTAAGAACCACCAGCTCCCTCTCGCCCGCATCAAGAAGATCATGAAGGCGGACGAGGACGTCCGGATGATCTCCGCCGAGGCGCCCATCCTCTTCGCCAAGGCCTGCGAGCTCTTCATCCTCGAGCTCACCATCCGCTCCTGGACCCACGCCGAGGAGAACAAGCGCCGCACCCTCCAGAAGAACGACATCGCCGCCGCCATCACCCGCACGGACATTTTCGATTTCCTCGTCGACATTGTCCCCCGAGACGAGATCAAGGACGAGGCTGCTTCCCTCGTCGGCCCGATTGTTCCCGGCTCCGCCGCGAACGGGGTTCCTTACTATTACCCTCCGATGGCCCAGCCCACGCCCACCGGTGTCATGATTGGGAGGCCCGCCGTGGATCCGTCGATGTACGTGCAGCCACCACCTCCTCCGCCGCAGGCATGGCAGTCTGTGTGGCAGACCCAGGAAGACAATTCGTATGCCAGTGGGGGGAGCAGTGGCCATGGCAACCTTGACGGCCAAGGGTAAGTCTCTGGCTCAGCAAGATCCGAAATCTAGGGTTTCTGAACCAAATTCCCCCAAAGTATGCTTCCTTTTCACACTTTCGAGGATACATTTATCCCTCTCTCTGCATTTCTTCTTCCTCATTTGGTTGTGCGCCAATTTTTAGTAAGATAGCTTCCTACTAAATGGAAAGAGCAAAAAAAAAAAGTTTAAAACAAAGTAGGAAGAACTTTTAAGGGCAAGGGATTGAAAGCTTGTGTCTTTAAGCTTTTCTCGTCTGGTATTTCTCTTCATCTTTCACTGAAGAAAAAATGGTAAATTTGAAACCGCTTTCTTCTTCCGTTTAAAGTTCCCTGTTTGCATGTTGGGGATGAATGGACATTACTTCGTCTATATGAGAATTTTGGTGATTTAGTGTAGAGTGTGCTTGAATGTGTGTAAGCTGGTTCTTGTGGTTTTCTATAGATGAGCTAACCTTAGTGGTATCGTTGGACATGATCAAGTATAATCCATGAAACATTATATGGAGTATTAACAATTCTAGATTCTTGATCTGGGTGTTCTGTGTTTGGCTGTTGGAGCCATTTTTCACTGTTCAATCATGTTGCCCAAAGATGTTTGTCTAAACGCCTCTATTGCCAAACATTTTATAGATAGTATACTCCGTATTATTTTGTCAAACAAACAATCCAAATAGATCATTTATATTGATCTAAAGCTTGATAAGGTGTGAAGGGGAATAGATTTTGAAGTTTTCTAAACTGGCCTTTCTAAATTCTAATGAATACCAGTTTCGAAGAAACTTCAGCTTTTTTCTTTGTAAAACCATTGGTATAATGCTAATGTTTGCAAAACCCATTGAGAAGAGAGAATGGCAAAGTTAAAGATAAAGGGGGTGCTTAGTTTATGCGAATGGCAATGGAATAAGGTTAATACCTGTTCAACCATTAGAAACTCTAGAATGGCAATGGAATAAGGGTAATATCTATTCAACCAATACAAACTCTAATATCTTTCCTTGAGATGAGTATTAATTCTTTTTAAGGTCTATCAAGAATCTGAGATGTTACTTGGTCATTGTATTGTTGTTCAATGGAATGCTTGTTTTCTTCGCACAGTACAAAATCACTTTGTTAGCGAGCGGTGTTTCTTATTTTATATAACCTGTCTTAATGGCAATCCACATTAAGCTTCATCGCTCCTTTCTTTTCTAGTCATAACACTTTGACGCTGAACAAACCGCTTTAAAAATCTGAACTTTGATTGTTTTTCAAATCTTTCTGCTGCAGCTAAAAGTCATCCTTCCAGGATGCTTGATGTTTGGAGAAGTGATGGGGAGCAAACAGCTTCTGAATTGCATATTTATTTATATATATGCTACCTTACAACCAGCTTCTGTGGGTACTTGCCTTAACTGCCGTATGTAGGAAGAAGAAGAGAACTGGATTTTGTTTAGTTGGTCTTTGTTTTGCAAAAACAATAATGATCATCCTGGGGGTTTGGATTATGTGACATTCTTTGACTCAATTATCTTTTGTTTCCTCTCCCTCGTATAATTGTCGATAATTTTTATCATGGTATTATTATTATGGAGTATTATTATTGGGAAAATTTCCATTAGTAGGAATAAAAAAGATGTAAAATTCAATCTATTTTCGAGTCAATCTAGTACTACGTATGATAAGTTGAGACTTTGGGAGTCTTATAGTTTATTTAATGTAATTTAATGAAAAAATAATAATAATAATAAGAACTGATACTACTTTGAAACGAACGTTTTAGCTTGGTGCCTTTCACCTATTTTAATCCAGTACCGCAAAACCAATCATCTTATTCTCAGACAATAAATTGACCGGTCTTATCTTGTCTAGAACTGAAACCACTTCCAACCCTAAACAAAACGTAGTGTAGCCTTTTTTGGATAAACAAAAAGATGTGTTATAAATGTCTTAATCAGTACAAGTATTATGTTAAAGTCTAATGATCAAGTATGTTTTGAATTGAATAAAAAATGCATGCTCAAGTAAAGGCAATTGGGTGATTGAACGATCGAGTGCCCTTGAATTTCAGAAAATTTAGTTCATGTGTTATTGCACCATATGTTTTTCTTTGGTTGATATATATCTATCTCCCCACGTAGTGGTGGACTCGGGCCGGGCGGCCCGGCCCGGTTACTGTTTGGCCCGGCCCGGCCCGGCCCGGGGCCCGGTGGGTCCACCGGTTCGGTTCGGCCCGGCCCGGCCCAGCTGCTGGGTAGTGCTGGACTCGGGCGGGGCGGCCCGAACCGGAACCGGCCCGGCCCGGTGGCCCGGTCCACCGGCGGTTTGGGTCAAACCGGCCCGGTGGATACCGGTTCCGGGCCCGGGCCCTCTATTTGGTGAACCGGCCCGGCCGGTTCGGGCCCGGTCCGGGCCGGAATAATTTTTTTTGAATTTTTTTTAATTTTTGGGTTGGATTAGGTATTTTGGGCCATTTGAGGTGGTTTGGGGTGGTTTGGGGTTGAAGGCGATGGGTAGGGGGTTAAATAAGAGAAGCCAAAAAATCAATAAAAAAAAAAAATGGGGCGGGTGAACCGGCCCGGAACCGGCCCGGAACCGGTCACCTGCCGGTTCGGGCCCGGGCCCTCCTTTTGGTGAACCGAGGCCCGGCCGGTTCAAGGCCCGAACCGGGCCCAACCCGAACCGGGCCCAACCCGAACCGAGTCCAGCCCTACTGCTGGGTGGTTCGGGCTCGGGCCCAGTTTTTGGTGAACCGGCCCGGCCGGTTCGGGCCCGGTTCGGCCGGTTTTTAATTTATTTATTTTTTGAAATTTTTTAAGTTTTGGGTTGGATTAGGTATTTTGGGTCATTTGAGGTGGTTTGGGGTGGTTTGGGGTTGAGGGGGAGGGGTTGGGAGTTAAATAGAAGAGCCAAAAAAAATAAGAACCGGTTAGGCCCGGCCCGGTTTGGCCCGGAACCGGAACCGCCCACTGGCGGTTCGGGCTCGGGCCCAACTTTCCTGGCCCGAGGCCCGGCCGGGCCCAGGCCCGAACCGGGCCGAGTCCACCACTATCCTCACGGTGCCAAATACCTTCTAAGAAGCGTTACTGTAACACTTCTAAGGCTCTGTTTGCAAACACAACTAGAAAAGCACTTCTCAGCTTTTGGCTTAAAAAAGCTAAAAAAGATGTTTTCAAATGACAACTTCTACTTAAATGAATTACTTAAAAGCTAAAAGCTAGAATCTGCTTTTTACTTTTTCTATTACACAAAAAGCACTTATTTTACCAAACACCACCAACTTTTACTTTTCAAAATCACTTTTTTCTCAAACACTACCAACTTTTACTATTAATCACTTTTTTACCAAATCATTTAAAAAAGTTAAAAGCACTTCTCAATAGGGTTTGCAAACAGAGCCTAAAAAGAGTACTCCGTAATAGATTCAAAACGGTGAAAAATGTTAATATTTGAGACAACAGATACTATAATAAAAAATACCTTTCCACGGTATTTAATGCAGTTGGATCTAAGGTCGGATCAGTGGATTTAGCCTTTTAATCACACATTTCAATTCACCATTAATAAAGATAAAACTACCAAGAGAATAGAGTGGTGTTGGCGTATCTAAATATAAAATATGGATAGATTGGAGCGGTGGGTAGGGGGCAAGAACTGGTGGATTATTTGGCTATCAACTGATATTTTTGACCAAAATCGACCAATGCTCGCCCCTTTGCAGTCACCATTCCAACTTCTGACACTTAGTGTATTAAATTTCGTTTTTTAAAAGAAGAAAATGATTTCAATGAAACTTTAATGGGATGTGAGTGCCGTGTAACATATATGCGCACTCATATAAATACTATGGCAGTTATTTTCGAATCATGATTATATGTTTTTTTACAAATACAAATTTATTAAGTTGTTAGAATGCAATTAATATTCTATAATTTCATTTGGAGTAAAGGGTCAATTTGGTACTCGAAGTTGCAAAAAAATGTCAAATAAGTACTTATATAGAAGTTTATGTCCGGACGTGCCATTTGAGGTGGCTCCCAGTGGAACTTTTTTGATAATTTTTCTTGAGCATCTTATTCATTAAGTCTAGTTTACTCATACCAAATTTGTTGGGATATTTACTCTCATATGTATATACTTTCCACTTACGTTTTAGTCAATATCATATACTCCCTCCGTCCCTAAAAGAACTTCCAACTTTCCCTTTTCGTCCGTCCCAAAAAAAACTTCACTTTCCTTTTTTGGCAAAGACTTTGTGGTTCACAGCATTTCTCTCTCCTCTGCACAACTCTCCACCACACAATTCCCACTTTCTTAATCAGTGTGCCACTTTATTTTGGAAGAACATTTAGGGACGGAGGTAGTATTTATTATACCCGATTTATATTTGTATAGTAACGAGTGATTAGGATTGATTGTAGCATATTTACTTTCCTTGTTTTCTATTGTCTACATGTATATTACATCGATGTATGACAAAGTGGAATGAGAGAGTGATTCTGACCAATTAACTTCTTCCTTATGCGTGTCAATTTATTTGACATGAAGAGTTTAGCCATCTAGCATCGGTTTGTTCATGGTATCAGAGACTGACATACCTACGACTTTACTTCCGTCTTTTTTTCCTTCTTTTGACGAAATAATATGACAGTGTCACGACCAAGTGACGAATCAATAATGACGAACACAGAACCTTCTACGATACAAACAAATGCTATTGGAGGTCATAAAGGGGCAGGATCGGGTGCGGTTGTTGACCTCTTCGCCGGTCACACTTCCAAATGGGAGTGTCACTTTTGCTACTCATATTGGTCGAGTTAAGTTGGGCCCTAAGGTGATTCTTGAAAATGTTCTTTACGTGCCTAGCTTGACGTGTCATTTGATATCAGTTGGTAGGCTTATTGATGATTTACCGTGTCACGTTATATTTACTAACAAGTTTTTTGTGATACAGGATCTCACCTTGAAGACGGTGATTGGAGCGGGAGAACGTCGGGAAGGGGTCTATTATCTGTGTGGGATCGGAGGTTTGCAAGCCTCTCATGTGACTGGTATTAACTCAGAAGACTTATGGCACCAAAGATTAGGGCACCCTTCCTCTCGAGTGGTTCGTTTACTTCCGGTTGGTTTAAATAAAATAAGTGGTAATACTCAAAATGATAGCTGTGAAGTTTGTTCTAAGGCAAAATAGACACGTGATAAGTTTACCCCAAGTTTAAATCGTGCTTTGCGTATATTTGAACTTATTCATTGTGATGTGTGGGGGCCTTACCGTAATTCCAGTACCTGTGGCGCACATTATTTTTTTACTATTGTTGATGACTTCTCTTGTGCTGTTTGGATACATTTAATGGCTGAAAAACGAGAAGTAACTTCTATTATGGAACAATTTTTGGCCATGATTAAAAATCAATTTAACACTACAGTTAAGGTGGTTCGGACAGATAATGGGACAGATCGAATTTTTGCCATTGAAACATTATTTTCTTCCGCATGGAATTTTGTTTCAAACCTCATGTGTCGGGACTCCCCAACAAAATGGGCGTGTTGAGAGAAAACATCGCCACATTTTAAATGTGGCTCGTGCACTCCGTTTTCAGGCAAATCTTCCTATACGATTTTGGGGTGAGTGCATCGTAACTGCAGGTTACTTGATTAATCGGACTCCATCTATGCTAAATAATGGGAAGACACCATTTGAACTATTATATGGTCGTGTGCCTTCTTATGATCATATAAGAATTTTTGGGTGTTTATGTTATGTTTACTCTAAAACTACAGATAAATTTGAAGAACGTAGTTCTCGTTGTGTATTTTTGGGTATTCTTACCGTCAACGCGGTTGGAAGGTGATGAATTTAGCATCCGGCAAGCATTTTGTCTCTCGGGATTGTGGAAAATATTTTTCCATTTTCAGAATTAGCACAAAAGTCATCGCCAACCGTTCCAGCTGCAGCTCCATACCTTGATGTTTATCCATATCATATGGATGATGAAGTTGACAATTTACATGGGTCCTACCAGTCATCTACGTTGCAAGGAGAAAAAGTTACACCTCCTGCTTCTGGAAATGAGCATACAGGCCCTCCACCATCTTCTGACCCTCACATTATTTTGTCAGATGGTAGTATACTACCTACGTTGACGGACGAGACATATGCTCCCCAAGAATCCACGCAGCCTCTCATCACAAATGATGACTCATCGCCGCAGCAGCCCACTCCAGCTCCTTTGCTTTTGGGACGTGGACATCGCCGTAAGATTCCTTCGATACGGTTACAAGAATACGTGCAAACTCATGCAACTCATATAGACCCTCCCGATTTCTCCGCTGCATCATCGTCCTCAAGTAATCCTTATCCTCTAGCTTGTTATGTTAATTATAACGCTTACTCGGTACGCCATCGAGCTTTTCATGCAGCCATTTCTCAAGAAAAAGAACCCTCATCTTATCAAGCCGCAGTCCAAGACCCTCGGTGGCGGTCGGCCATGCAACGTGAAATAGAGGCTTTGGAAAAAAATGGCACATGGACTATGGTGGATTTGCCACCTCACAAGAAGCCCATACGGTGCAAATGGTATACAAAATTAAATACAATAGTGATGGTACTATTGAACGCTTTAAAGCTCGAGTAGTGGTTTGTGGGAATCGACAAGTGTAGGGCATAGATTATCATGAGACGTTTGCCCCAGTTGCTAAAATGACAACTGTAAGGGCTCTTCTTGCAATTGCTGCATCACAAAATTGGAAACTTCACCAAATGGATGTTGATAATGCCTTTTTGCATGGAAGCTTGGATGAGGAAGTCTACATGTATCCGCCCCCTGGTTTTTCATCTTCTCGGCCCAAGCAGGTGTGTCGTCTCCAACGTTCCCTTTACGGGCTTAGACAGGCACCTCGATGCTGGTTTGCCAAACTTAGTGCATCTCTTCTTTCTTATGGATTCAAAAGATCCTATGCAGATTATTCTCTATTCACCCTACACAAAGGCCAAGATTTCATTTGTGTCCTTATTTATGTTGATGATTTACTCATTGCCGGCACAAGTTCTTCACTTATTGGTGTTCTTAAGACCTATCTGGCTCGGTGCTTTCCTGTCAAAGATCTAGGTCGCCTGAAATATTTCTTAGGGCTTGAAGTAGCTCGGAGCCCTACTAGAATATTTTTGTGTCAACGAAAATACATTCTTGATCTTCTTGAGGAACTTGGACTGTCCGGGGTCAAACCCGCCAATTTTCCTATGGAGCAAAATCAGAAACTCTCACTCTCTCGAAGTCCTCCATTTTCTAATCCAGAAAGATATCGTCCAGTCGTGGGTAAATTGATATACTTAACTCTTACCCGACCTGAGCTTAGTTATTGTGTGCATGTCCTCGCTCAATTTATGCAGTCCCCACGGACGGATCATTGGGATGCAGTGCTTCGTGTCCTCCGCTATCTCAAGGGCAATCTCGGCCAAGGCATTTTACTAAGGGCTGATTCAAATTTAAATCTTCGTGGATATTGTGATTCCGATTGGGCAGCATGTCCTATTACTCGTCGGTCTATCACTGGGTATCTTGTTCTTTTGGGAAACTCTCCTATATCTTGGAAAACGAAAAAGCAACATACGGTCTCCCGCTCCTCCGCCGAGTCTGAATATCGTTCCATGGCTGCCATTTCATGTGAACTCATATGGCTCAAAAGTCTTCTTCGTTCTCTTGGGATCAATCATTCTGATCCTATCACAGTTTCTTGTGACAATCAAGCCGCCCTACACATAGCATCTAATCCAGTTTTTCATGAGTGTACTAAACATATCGAGATCGATTGTCATTTTGTACGTGACCTTATTCAACAAGGAACTCTCATCACCCAGCATGTCTCTTCCCATTCTCAACTTGCGGACGGACATTTTCACTAAACTCCTTGGTGCTCAACAATTCAATTTTCTTATGTCCAAGTTGGGCGTTTATAATCCTACCGCTCCAACTTGAGGGGGGTGTTGGGATATTTACTCTCATATGTATATACTTTCCACTTAAGTTTTAGTCAATATCATATATTTATTATACCCGATTTATATTTGTATAGTAACGGGTGATTAGGATTGATTGTAGCATATTTACTTTCCTTGTTTTCTATTGTCTACATGTATATTACATCGATGTATGACAAAGTGGAATGAGAGATTGATTCTGACCAATTAACTTCTTCCTTATGCGTGTCAATTTATTTGACATGAAGAGTTTAGCATCGGTTTGTTCAAAATTTCAGCTAAACATTCAATTGGGAAGACATTCAAATGAATTCTTGAAGATAACTACGCTTTTAAGGGGCACAATTATCTTCAAGAATTCATTTCAATGTCTTCCCGATTGAATTTTTATTTGAAATTTGATATGAGTAAACTAGACTTAATGAATAAGATGTTCAAAAAAAATCATCAAAAAATTTGACCGGGAGCCACCTCAAATGACACTTCTGGACAGAATCTTCTATATAAGGACTTATTTGACTCCTTTTTTGCAACTTCGATGACCAAACTGATCCTTATCCCCATTTAAAATATCTACTCAACATCATGAAAAAGTATATGGTCATGATATTAACATAACGTTTTATACCGAGTATAAAATTTGGGATACACTCCGTATATATTAGATGTGTGAGTTTGAAATACTTATGTGACACCCTTTTAAAGGTTGTGATATTTAAATTATTTTCCCCTTTTAAAATATGATGACATCTTGATATCAAATAGGGAGACCTCGGGATGGGCCCTAACACTGACCGGATAATTAATTGAGAAGATATAAATTAAACTTTAATTACAAAGGTCTATCTGCCAAACTGCCCAAAAAATCTTTTTCAATGATAACAACTACCAAACTTCCCACACCATACTTAAATTTTCCCAATTAAGAATATAGATAATAAAAATAGAAAATAGAAGGATATGATTTTCTAGATTATTATTTTTTGGAACAGTGTCTTTGTAAAATTATGTTGTCATACGGTCTTTTATGACACCTTAAACGATACAAAAATTTCCCTAAATAAGCAATACTATATGTTTCCCCTGAAATAAATTTAGAGCATCGTCATTTTGAAATTACATTGTCATATTGTAACATTATCGAGTGAACGAGTCAAGTTCAAGGAAATCTAGGATTAGTCATTAGCGATACTAGATTGTGGAAAATCCCATTTTGAAAAACTCTTATTTAGGTCAAATTATTTAAAAGATACCCCTAGGTATATATAACTCATACAAACAACACTTCCGGAAAAAAATACGTTTTCAACAACAAAAAATGTCTTTTCATTAATAATGCTTTCCCTTTTAAAGTTGGGGTATATGACAAATAAAATAAATATGTGTTTAATTTAAACTAAATAAACAAGGAAAAATTGTTAGATAGGCCCTCGAGGCCTCGAACTTACATAAAAAGGTCAAATAAGCCCTTATATAGGAGGATATGTCTGGCCGTCACCATTTGAGACGATTCCGGGTGGAATTTTTTGATAAGATTTTTTGAGCATCTTATTCATTAAGTCTAGTTTACTCATATCAAATTTTAGTTAAAAATTCAATCAGGAACGCATTCAAATTAATTCTTGAAGATAACTGCGCATTTAAGTGATTTAATTGCACAGTTATCTTCCAGAATCAATTTTAATGCATTCCTGATTGAAGTTTTAACTAAAATTTGATATGAGTAGAATAAGATTCTTAAAAATTTACAATACTCAAGTAGTCCTGGACTCGGGCCGGGCGGCCCGGCCCGGAACCGGCCCGGTTACTATTTGGCCCGGCCCGGCCCGGGGCCCGGTGGGTCCCTCGGTTCGGTTCGGCCCGGCCCGGCTGCTGGGCGGTTCGGGCCCGGGCCCAGGTTTTTGTGAACCGGCCCGGCCGGTTCGGGCCCGGTCCGGGCCGGATTTTAATTTTTTTTTTTTTTTTTTTGAAATTTTTTTAAGTTTTAGGTTGGATTAGGTATTTTGGGCCATTTGAGGTGGTTTGGGATGGTTTGGGGTTGAGGGGGAGGGGTAGGGGATTAAATAGAAGAACAAAAAAAAAAAAAAAAATTATTGGGCCGGTTCGGCCCGGCCCGGCCCGGTTTGGCCCGGAACCGGGACCGGAACCGGCCACCGGCGGTTCGGGCTCGGGCCTCCCTTTCCTGGCCCGAGGCCCGGCCAGGCCCAGGCCCGAACCGGGCCCGAACCGGCCCGAGTCCAGGACTATACTCAAGTGACGTTTCATATCTTATGTTTAAGCAACCAACGATCTTTTATTCATACCCTATGTTGTATGATCATATCTAATTACAGAAATAACAGCGCTCCTTCTCCAACCCTTTAATCTTTACCAATCAGAGGCTCAGAGCATCTTCAATCCATTTATACCTTCTATACATAAAATAATAATGATGTTTACAGCTGAAATGCTGGGGGGTCATATTTCATGAAAATGACTCTTTGGTTACACTGCCGAAACATTGGGTCAAGCAAAAAAAACTCTAACATAACATTTACATTCCTCGCTTTAAACATACATACAACCCAGACTCATAGTTATTCTTGAAAAAGTAATAAATCGATATGTTATTCAAAGTGAGAATCGAGAGTGATTTTCAGTATGGACAGTTTATCACAAAATTCATTATTGTCAAAGGAAAGTAGATTATTGGTACAATACACAGAAAAATTAGGATTGCCCCTTTTGTTCTAACACAAAAAAAGGGAAAAATTTACTTAACACCCTAAAAAGGCTATAAATGCTATTCCTCGCTCACATATACAAATATAAAAAAAATCATATACCCCATTTTACAGACAAGCTAGCCTCATATCAACACCAGGAGCGAAAAATGCACAATCAGCTCAATCAGGTTAAAAACATTCCATAGGTCAGGCGAGCGGGCAGGCTGGTAAGCCTTCACATGAAGTAGCTCAAAGACTTCTTCTGTCTCGACCCTCCTTCGCCATACATATCATTCCATTGCAAAAGCTCTGTCATGTTTCTGGACTCTGATGTCACACTAGCACAAACCTATACACCGACCCGAACAACACTTTTTAAATATTTTAAAACAAAAATAAAAACCAAGCTTGTGTATTATTATGATAACCAATTGGGATTGCTCACAAGTTTCCCTTACCTGTTCATGAGCATGTCTGAAGTCTTCCATGTTCATTGGTCGAAGGCACAAAGATGGTTTAGGGACACTTTCTAACAAGGAAGCAGCTTGCTCCTGCCAAGTCAACATTTTAGATGAGAATCGCCAAGTAACTAAACCTTTCCTGTTTTCTATGCATTTCTAAATTTGTTGCATATAAATTGGCAAGTGCCTCAAATGTTAATACATTTGTGTCTGAACATATATTTGAGGTAACATCACCTCTTGAGGATCCTATTTTAGATGAGTTAAACCCAATTAGTTCATATTGTTCAGTCTGGTTTGAACCAGATAAGAACCCTATTTAAGTCCTCGAGGTAAAAAAATCTTGAGGTTCTGCCACCTTTAATATAAATCAAGGGATTCAAGGGCAATAATGAATTAATGATAACTCATCATTAATTTCCTCTATAAACTCATCATGTCTATACTGCAAAACAAGCTGAGACATTAGGAAGAACATTTATAGGAAATGCATCTAGACAATCAACTCTCTTCTAGTTCAGCTGAAAAATGATATACCCTCCACACCCCCACCTCGTCCCTAAGCACCTACTAACCTTTTCAAGCACACTGATAGAGAGCAGGAGCTTGGGTTTACCGAAGGTGGGATGGGCTCGAGCCCACCTTTGTGAGCTGGTTGCAGGCCGTTTAATTAATTTTAATCTTTATAATTTTCCTGGTTTGTTTCCTATTTGGAGTTAATTAGGATTTCTATTATTTGTTTCCTATTTGGAGTTAATTAGGATTTCTATTATTTGTTTCCTATTTGGAGTTGATTAGGACTTCTAGTATTCTATTTCCTATTTGGAGTTGATTAGGATTCCTATGATTTTGTTTCCTAGTTTAGAAATTAGATGGGTATTTAAACCCCTTGTTAGGGTTCATTCTTGGTTATCATTTAATAAAATTGGATTTCAGCCTATTGGCTCTGGGCAACGGTTTATTCTGTTGATTATTAATTTTCTGTTGCTCATCACATTCTGTTGATTATTAATATATCTAAGTTTCATCTTAAAATTTGGTAATCTAAACTTTCATGTTTGGCTAATAAAGTTAGACAAAATGAAACTATAAGTCTATAACAGAGTAATACTTGATTCCAAAAATAATTGATAATGATATAGCATACTTTTTTCTCTTTTTCTATAATCTCTCTGATGGGACGATATGCAGCTGCCTTACATAAATTCTGCAATAACAAAAATGGTGACACAAAATTAGTTAAAAGGAGCTCAATCCATAATACAAATAAATACTATGTACTATATACCAAAATCACCTGAAGGTCACTTCCAGAATACCCATCAGTCATAACAGCAACAGAGTCCAAATCAACATCTGGTGACAAGTCTTCTTTTGCCAGAATTACTTTAAGGATATTTGCTCTGTTAGAGGCATCTGGCAAACCGACCATCAATCTGAGGAATAACCATAGATGAATGAAAGAAACATCAGAAGCATTAAAAGTCAAAGTTTCCAACTTCAAACACAACTTGCTTTTTTGCTTCCTTACCTACGTGGCATCCGCCTTATAACTGCTTCATCGAGATCAAAAGGCCTGTTTGTAGCTGCGAGCACAAGAACGCGCTCTGTATCCTTTGTTCGCAATCCGTCCCAATTAATCATAAACTCATTTTTCATTTTGCGCATGGCCTCATGCTCTCCTGGATTTTCCCTACGGCCCAGCATGCTATCAACCTTAAGGACAACCATAATAATTATAAATACAAAAAAATGGTAAGAAAATTAATCAGTCAGGATAAAATCTATTAGAGAGAGTAATCTGTAGAGCATTACAGTAAGTATCAGAGGCATACTTCATCAACAAAAATTACACAAGGGGCAATTTTACTAGCCAGCGAGAAGACAGCCTTAACGTATTTCTCAGCCTCGCCAAACCACTGCAGCACAAATAAATACGGTCAGAGTTTGTAATGGAATCCTAAATTTATGCAAATGTTTATCAGAGAAAAAAACAAGTCAGGTGGGCTAACCTTGGAAGTAATGCTTGACATGCAAATATTGATGAAGTTTGCACCAGCTTCTGTGGCAACAGCCTTAGCAAGCATCGTTTTCCCAGTTCCAGGAGGGCCAAATAGAAGTATTCCCTTACAAGGCTACAAAAGAAAATTAAAAAGTTAAAAATAACAGCACTGAAACTTCTTACAAGTGTAACTTCTAATAAAGAAAGTGTGACAACAAAAGCAATGATACAATCATGCTTAAAATAAACTGGCAGGAAAAATGCAAAATTGAAAAGGAATTGGTTGCGGGCCGGCTATGCCTAAAGAGCATAAAATCGTGATTTAAGAAAGGGGATTTGACATTATACCTCATATTTTGGGTGATATTGGACTTTGCACCCATTTTCAGAAAATTTAATGTATTCATCCCATCAGGAACGGGGTGCAAACATTAATTCTTTTAGTCAAATGGGGTGTACACATTGTTCTAAAAACCAGTCTAGGCGCTAGGCGGATTCATTGTACTGCATAAGAAAAATCAGTCAACCAATTAGGAGGGCTACATGGACGCCGAGGCGGCTCTGAATAGATTGGTTGCCGATCCCAATTGTCTTCTCCACTTTGTCCTAAGAAATAACATGTTTGATAAAAAATTATTCTATTCCTTATAAATGCATTTTAATATTCCTACAATATGATATTTAAAATAAGTTTTAAATCTACAAAAAATACAAATATACTATTTTATTTAAAATTTTCAATTAATTATTTTAATTATTTAAAAGTTACCGCAAAAACATAACATTAATAATTATATGAGCTATTTTTATTATCAAAATATTATAAAGTCATTTATAATTACATACTACCTCCGTCCCCCTAAGTTTGGGACAAGAGAAGATTGCACGGTTATTAATAAAAGTGGGTTTATGTAGTTGATATTGAATTGATAAAGTAAGAATAAAATAGGAATGATTTAGAACCACACAAACTTTACCAAATAAGGTATGGGACAATCTTTGTGGGACGGACCGAAATGGTAAAATGGGACAATCATAGTGGGACGGAGGGAGTAGTATATTAATCCCCATAGGAAATAAAAAGAAAACAAAAAATAAAGAGGAAGACCTGGAAGTTCTGGTAGCGCTTAAGCAGGAAAAGCACTAAATGACAAGCCACGCTCGACTAGCGTCTTTTGGAACATTGGGTGTACAAATTAACTTATTTCAAAATGAGGTGCAGTTCCAGTTTCGCCCACAATATGGGGTGCAAAGTCAAATTCTCCCTTTAAAAAACCTAGTTGCCTCAGTCATATCAAAGAAGTGTAATTAGAAGGGATATTTCCGAACAAGGCATCTAATTGGGTCTACAATGGAGCAAAACCTTTATAGAATCTATCTAATTGTCATTTTTTTAACCAAGCATTCCAGCCCAGCTGGTTGTGAGGTTATCGTGCCTAGTGGGAGGTCTCGAGTTTGAAACCCGCTAGGCACATAAGGGTTCAAAACTCAATGGAGTGAGTTTCAGCCATGATTACTACAGGCCCCCTCCAGCCCCCTCCCCCAGACCCCCCCCCCCCCCTCGGAGTAAAAATATATATATATAATTGTCATTTTTTTCATTGTTTAGTAATAATAATCTACTTTTCTTGAAAAAATTACAAACACTGAAGATTATCACCATTAACCCTTGTAGCTGAAACTAAACAATATCAAACCTTGGTCAATTGCCCCTTGCAGAAAAGCTCTGGCCTCTGTAAGGGTAGCATCACCAACTCTTGCAGTGTCTCTTTGACATTTTTCAGTGCACCAATATCGTCAAATGTGACTCCTATATCATCTGAAGTGATGACATCTGCTAGAAGTCTCCTCTCAAAATCATTCTCAGGCACAATATCCTGGATCAGTTGGGGAAACTATGTCAAGTTCATGAACGAAATAGAAAATTCTTTCAAAAGCGTTAAATAAAGGGCTTCGAGGATGAATACAAATTTTCATCAACTATATCAAATAGTACTAAAGCACCTTAAGTGATTTCTTCAGGCTATTGGATTCATTTTGTGCATCTCGCAACATGTCAATCCCGTACTGGATGCTGTTACATTACACAACAGTGACATTCTTTAAACACATTTAGAAAGGAAATAAAAAAGGGAGGGTTGTTGCTAAGTAAGTTAGTTACTTCTCATGAGACAAAGCAATCACTTCATCCGAATCTGCTTGAGGGTTTTGCATCAAATGATGACTCAATGCCCACCCAATGGCCTTCTCTGCACCTTCAAACACGCCAAATTACCATTACATTAGAGACCATACATTGAGCCAATACACGATAAAAAGATGCAATTTCGCTCTCCTTTATCGAGACAGTAATATACAAGACAGTAGGGGCTTTAACTGGACTGAAACCAGTGTTGAATAAAATTTTCAGTGTACGAGCATGTCTTATTCCAGATAATAACAAAAGAAAAGTAAAATTATGTGTACTCTCAATTGAAAATTCTGGGTCCTTGATACACAATGCCTCCAGTCTATCACATTCTAATCCATTTCGGCTCAGAACCTATACATAAGAGAGAAACCATCATTTAGGACATAATCAACCACGAAACTTTGATGCTCTAAATATCCTAATTCTTCACTCAGAAAGAACACTATAGTAGAGCCACAAGAGAAACTTTCAACTTGCAGCAGTTCTAGAAAGTTGATGAAAAAACAACCACGATATGAAAGCCATGCTTCAATGCTACATCTAACTGAACAGGATATCAAAGCCATATAGGCACCAAAGTTTCTGACTTAGGCTTGTAACGAATAGCCAGTTTGGTCCTATTTTAGTGGTCACAACTCACAACTTATAAGATGGCATAAAGAGGGCACTTAAAAATGCTCATATTCTTAGAAACATTTCAAATTAGCAAGATAGAATATGTAAAGCTCAACAAAGTGTAAGTGTACCCACAGTTCTTAAACTATTCAAATTTCCTTTAGTTTTCAGAATTTCAGCATCTCTCTCCAATTGTTGCTTCCAACTAGCTTGTAGTGCTTCATCCTACAGTCAGGATACATATCACTATATCAGGGTAAAAGCGAATAAAAAAGAAAACTATATAAAACAATTTGAAACAAACCTGTGGCATGTGAATAACAACTTTATTGGGAAAAAGTTTTGTGAAAAGTTTTGCTGTCTTGGTAACTTCCCTTCCCCTGTCATTCAACCTTCCAATAGTACCCTGAAGGTATTGAAGTTTGATGATCATGCATTGCAATTGAGAGTATAAAAGGAATGATAATTTCACTGAATGGTTAAAATACACATGAAAGTACAAACCTGCTTAGAATGATAAAGAACATACCTGGAAAGACAAATCAAGCAAACCAGTCTGATTGATTCCAAATTTTGTAAAAAGCAATCCACCAGCATGTGGCTGTGTAGTGCAGAAGAGAAATGCATACTTAGGTATTACATCAACGTAAAAACTCAGTATGTGTTTTCAACTAGACACATAGCGAAAGGGGCTGCAATTATTTACATCATTCGGTTATCTTCTCATTTTCTACCTAAAAGGCACTGTTTAAATTATAAATTTGCCTGGCCATAGTTTCTTCAGTGGTACATTTTACAGCCTTTAGTGAAACTACCAAGTAACAACACTTGTCGAATGATCAAACAATATTGTTCTTACAGACAGATGCATACTTCAGGAGATGCTTAAGCTAAAACTCTATATTTTAGAAGCTTTGGTCATTAGGAAGAAAACTAGAAACTTTCACGCCACTATTACAAGCATGAAGCATGGCCAAATAAATATATTCATACTCCACTACCGTGACAATTCTATGACCTTACGGTAAAAATTACCTTTTCTTTCTTGGTGTCAGTGTGGGCATGTGAGCCTATAACTACAACGTTATCAGGAAGCCTCTCAATTCTGCTTTTTAATGTTGACAAGTCGGCAAGTCCTGCCATTGTGTTTTCAGCATCTTTGATGAACAAAATAAAAGGGGAATTTCTGCTCTCATCAAATACAACCTGTGTGATATAAAAAAATTGTGATCACCAGTTGTCTCCGAAACAAAGATATTTCCATTAAATGTTTTTCTCTATATTTGGATTGCAAAAAAATGTGAACAAAGTAGTAACATACTGAAAAGAAAACAACTGAAATCAAATATTTAAGATTTTAATTGTGTAGAAAACTTAATACGGAAGTTAAACACCGGCATATTTTGGTCATTTGGAAGCATTTAGTAATATTATTTTCGGATTATGTTAAATAAGAAAAATCTGTGATGGGTAATATTTTTGTCATTTTTTAAAAGGGCTGTTGTACAATTTCCCAATAGATTTGCCTAGTTTGAAGAAAGAATATCAAGGATGAAGAGTACCATATTGTTTTCTTCTTTTTCTAGTTGCTTAACTATAACATATCAACTATGAATATTCATTTTACTTCCCGTCAAATGGCCCCTACCACTTTCAAATCGTTAGAACAGAGTGGGTGGCTCCACCTTATGGAGGCATTGGTTACGGTACGAAAACAGCAGAAAAGTGTGTTTTTCTATTTATGTATATATGCTCTTTTAAACACGTACAACAAAAAGACAACTCAGTGTTCATCATTAAAATTGTAATAGATAAAAACTACAAACCTCAAATAATGTGTCGATGAGTGACTTGTCCAGACCTTCAGCACATGTGGCTTCTAGACGCAATTCATTGGCTGAGAGACAGGATGATGTATGGCTTGAAACTCAGAAATGACAGATAAATTTGTAAAGCAAAAGACAAGGGGGGAAGATGATCCTAAAACCAATGATATGTCTTATATACAGTGTAATAACTTGAATCGTGGTTACAAAATTGCTTTCATGTAGTACCTGTACAAAAGAACCCATGGCCAGCATCACAGTTACCCCCGAAGTCGACCCCATCTGGCATGGGCTTTTCAAATCTAACCCCAATTTTTGACACGGGATTGTTCGCAAAATGCATCACAATCTTCCCATTACTCCCAATTGTTGGACCTCTGGAAAGCAGCACAATGATGGATTATGTATATGCATGTACTGCATACATACATATTTATGCACACAGTGTGTAAATTACAACCATATGTAAAACAAGAATTAAAATCATATTTCTGCAGATAGCCAGACACGTGGCAAAAAAACAATTAAGCAATATATAGCAAGATTCAAAGAATGATTTCAATGAACTGCACTATTAAAGGAGTGTTTTTGTTTGCTTAAAAAAAGTGCTTTGGAGCTTTTAGATTAAAAAAAGCCAAAATAAGTGTTTGTTAACCCCAACTTTGACTTAAAAAAAGTGCTTTAAAGCCAAAATCTAAAAGCTAGAGTACCCCAGCTTCTAATAGCTTTTAGGTAAAATTGTAAATACCTCCAACTTTATGACTAATGATAATGCCAACAAAATTATCTAACCCCCAAAATACCCTGCAATAATTATAACCCATCCGCCCATCTCCATTTTCGTTCGTCATTCAGCTTCTTCTCCCAAACTGTGTCACTGCAAATGTCAAGATCGAGTCCTTCTCTTCAGTGAATTGCCGCAATGTTGATGGCCTACTACTACAGGTTTCTGTTTTTTTCTTTCGCCACAATCGTCTCCCATCACAGTGTATTTCGCAATTCAGGTTTTTGTTATTACTTCAGTGAATCGCCGCTCTCCCCTCCATTGCCTCTGTTCCTCTATAAGTGAAAGTGAGAAGGTTGGAATTAAAGATGCCAAGAAATACTCCCGTTTATAATCTGAAACCCATATTCCATTTTAAAACAAACTGAAATGATGAAACGTAAGAAAATCTCGAGCATGGAAGCTAAACCCCATATTCCATTTACAAACTGAAATTGAAGTTCCGAATTTGATTGTGCAAAGAAGAAGCTGAAATTGAAGAATCTGGAACTCGCTAGTTGAACACAGAGCATGCTTGCTGCGATGAAAGGAAAGGTCGAGGAAAGAGACGGGTCCTTGTATTTAATTGGGAAGGGTAAATTTGTACTTTTACAATCTACTCCCAAAAAATCACTTTTTATCAAACACTCCAACTTTTACCTTTTAATAAAAATCACTTCTATTTCCAAACACTATCTACTTTTACTTTAAATCACTTTTCCAATAATCTCTTAAAAAAATCATTTTTAAAAAGCTCAAGCAATCGCAAACACTCCCTAAGACCACTACAGTGTATGAAAGTCCCAACTTACATGTGAACTAGATAATAAACTGTTTGAAAGAACGCAAGAATTTGAGCCAGTTAGGACATGAGGAGGTGGCATGGTTATTAAAAAAGAAAATTTATGTGGTTGATATTGAATTGATAAAATAAGAATAAAGTAAGAATGATTTAGAATTAAAATAAGAAAAAACATAAAAGAATTAAATATGAAGTAATGAACAAATGTATTAACAGTTTTACAGAATGTTGCTCCAATCTGTTATACGACAAGCTTGGTCAAATTGATCCAGAGAAATCTCACCATAACAGTAATAAAAAGATTTGAACAAAAGTTCATAGATAGATATCTAATCTTTTAGATTTACTGCGGCACCAAAAATAGAATCTGACCTTTTAGGCATAGAGGCTGAATATAATCCACCAGCAGAACCAATGAACTTAACTTTGTCACCTAAATATTCAGAAAAACCATTCTAGAATAAAGAAAGAACATGAAAGTAATACAAACTTATAAATACCTCAGATATTAAAAGAGCATTTGTTTGTAATTTCTTTTCTGTATTGTGTCTCCAACACCAAAATGAAGCAATGTACCTGCTTTGAAAACGGAAATCTTTGAAGTCCCCACTAAAGGGGGTGAATTGCCACTCTCCATCTTCGGGAGCGAATCCATAACTGCTTTCCCAGAAAAATGCCCAGATCCTTTAGCCCTTTCAGGGGATCTAGGAATTTGATCAGTGCCATTAGCAGTTTTCTGCACACTACATCTTTCTCTTTGCAGCTCAGTTTCCTTTGAAGACAAGACCTGCAATAGAGGCAATAATAAATAAAAATGGGCAATTTCTGTTAAAAAAATCCATAATACAATATTTGGTAGTCATATTGATATACTATGAGTGCAGGTATATCATACACGAAGAGATGAATGGGTATCAAAAATCAGCAGTTTTGCCCCATAATGATGAGCAAGTGCCCTAGCCAACATCTCTTGATATATCTCAGATCCTAGAAATGGAAAGAAAAATCATATTTAGCCATCTCTTAACAATAAAGTTAGTCAATTAATACATGTATAATTGAGGAATTAGTGATGAACCTGCAGGACCCGTTAGCAAAATTCTGGGGTTCACCGTTGGAAGCTCAGAAGTAAACTTAGCTAGTTCTATGTGCTTCATGTGTATGTAAGATGCGGCTATCAGCATTTTTTTTGTATTTTCACTGCAACAAAACATTTTCTTCAATAAATAGGATTTGATTTAAAAATTATCATGTTTTAAAACAACCAACTGCAAAGAAGTAAGAACAAGCTGCAGCTCTGAAATTCCAAAATGAAAGCAATCCGATCTGCTATCAATCGTAAGGAAATGCACATATGCGCACATAAATATCATGAAAGTATAATCTTTATCTTTACTAAATAAATAATATGTTAGGATCGTTAACCCATGCTTTGATTCTAATTCAGTATTGCGCCCTCAGTCCGAATATGTTTGTCCCATTTTTTCATTTTGGTGGGTCCCGAAATGTTTTATGAAATCATAATTGGCCATATTCGTGCAATATCAGCTGTACAAAAGACTTTCATTTTTTTCTTGATCAGCATATCACCGCCCTTTGTCCCAAACTTTGTGGGACGGCCGGGCGGGGGAGTATTGTTTTAAATGTATATGGCATTATCATATTTATGAAGATATACCTTCTAGGAAGGAAATTAATCATTCAGCTTTAAAAATAATTTCCTGTAATCTGTCTATATTCTTTACTATTAAAGGTTTAGAGATGATGGTAATTAGCCTGGAGTTGCATATGAAAGTCATTGCATGAGATATGAGCTGTCATCAACTTATCTGCAGAATTCTAGTAAAACAGTTGCAATTCACCATTTAATTAGGCTGTTAGGGTCATCATCATCACAATCTAACCCAACTATGTTGAAAGTAAGGGTCACCCCCTAATCCCCACAAAGAGCAAACTAACAACGAACAAGAGGGGATTATTATAAGAATCATAAGGAAGAGTTACCTTAAATAGTATGGGAATTTATCAAATGAAACATCCATCTCCCGCCCGTCAAGTATATCTTTCTGGATGTCTTCTCTAAATATTGCACACCTTATAGACATCCCTGATGTGGATGCAGTCAAATCTCTTTCTTCTACCTGCTCACAGATACATGAGAATTAGGATTATCTAGAGAATTGGAACATAAAAAGGGAAATGAAAAAATGAATCATTCAGCTAGACAACTACATTGTCACACTTTTGGACAGAGTCCATGTTTCCATCATGAGGGAGGATATTGCTATGCACTCCAACATCGGCATCAAAATTAGCCTCAATATTTGAAGATGAATTCACTTCAGGGCCATCAAGCTCATCTTCATGGCCAACAGGGAATGAAGACGGCTCTTTTGTAGGATAGTTTATCCCCCTAACCTGAGTTGTAGGTTTCAAACGAAAAAGGTTTTGTCTTGTGCTTGAAAGGGAAGCCAAGATAGAAGCACCCACCACAGCTGAAGCATCTCCCACTCGTCTTTCAACATGCAGTAACTTCTCAAAACCAGGCCTAACATCTGAGGAAGCTGATTTAAGTGTCCGGTCGAACCAAATTTTCTGAAAAATCTAGATATGATGATGTCAAGAATATACCAGATGAATTTGAAAGAGAACACATACAAGTGAGAAATAGTGACATCATGTAAAAACAGTTATAGGATATGAACACTTCCATAAGAAAGAATGATAAAGGATACATAAGCATGGGTTCCCAGCAAACCAAAGATAATCTCATCGCCTGACTTGAGAAGACAAGTAGAGTTTTTTGGGATGGCCTTTCCATTTACTAGCACAGATCCTTCCTTCCCCTTGTTCTCAAGAACAGCAACCGAGATGCCTTCTCGCTGATCATTTCCAGAAACAATGAGTATGCATACTGCATGTACAGAATATGGAGTTTATCTCCAAAGATAAAAAAAGAAAATTTTACAGCAAAGTGTACTCAATGTTCAGCAAAAATTCATTCATACTTTATTAGTGTCCTCACTCCTCAGTCCCTAAATACTACCTCCGTCCCCCTAAGATTGGGACAAGAGGGGGTGGTTGGTATTAAATTGGTAAAGTGAATAAAGTAAGATTGAGTTCCAACCACTCAAATATTACCAAATATTGTAAGGGACAAGCTTAGTGGGACAGACGAAAAAGGTAAAATGAAAAAAAGATAGGGGGGTTACTAGCAAAATGTGAAAGTGATATTAGCACTGTGGTCATTGCACTTCAAAAGTCTAAGATGCTTGACTAAGGGTAGGATTAGTTAAAAGATGATACCCCACTGGCCATGCAAAGCTTATTTCTAAGCCTTTACAGGTTGGGTAGCATAGACCAATATCTAACTTATACGGAGTACATTTTTCTTATCACATTTTTTGTTGGGATACCTGTGGGAGGGTCGGATTGCCAAAAGGAGACCAACAAACAAACTTTATCTATAAATTTGAATTTCTGAAGATCATGTTTATAAAAAATAGTAGCTGGGGTGCCAAAAACCCCACCACCCTCACAAATTGTACAAAGATCGGCTTTTTACTATTGAGAACACAACAAGAGCCTACGTGCATAATGGCCTTAGGCAGGACCTTGGTGCAGCACATGAGTAATAATATATACGCATGCCAATTGCCAAGGGCTCAATATGTAAAAATAGAACTTCAAAAGCAATACCTGTTCGTGATTTATAGAACATAAGATGCCACTAACTGTTTGGTCATTTATCAAAAGGTTTGCAGACTTGATTGAACCAACCAAGAAACTTGATGTATAGATAGACACAGTCAAATTCTGCATTAAGTTAGCACATGACATCAAAACGCAATAGATATAATCAATATTACGTCGAGCAACTTTGCTTATAATGAACCACAAAAGAAAGAAGCAGTACGAGAAAACTACAAAATGGAAGGTATTACATTGATAATTTACACGATATTAGAAAGGGCTACATCTAATAAATTGAGGGAAAAAGTGGAGAAAATTTGTCTCAGTCCCCCAGTTGTAAGTCAATATGTCCAAATTATGGTCATTATTTTCTCAAATAATTAACTATTGGGTGGTTTTACTCCTATGTCATTTTTGAAACAAAAGGCATCATAGTACAACTTGGCAACGAAGGAGCTTTGTTCCATGTGTATAGTTAGTATTCATTTTCGCAGTGTGATTAACAAATGCAGTTACTATCGGTGTAAAACAGTTGTCTTTTATCTTTGATCTGCTGAAAGCATACAATGATTGAACTTAAGCAAAAAAATGCACAATATTTGATATTGAAATGTTCAAAAAGAGTGCATTCTCATTGTCGAATTAGAAGCGAGTGACACTAATAGACGACGATAAGTGAAAATATATGGGCATCAATGTGGATGAAAATAACATTCTTAATATCAGAATAAGGTACGCATAAATAAGGTGGATACAAGAAGCCAAAATACCTGCCAGAAGCCAAAAAAAACTCACAACCTTTAAGAAGCCAAGAATTCTACTACAATAGGGACATTCAAAACTACTTCAAGAATACTTCACATTCAAAACTCATCATGGCATCATGAACTTAACTAGATAATATCCATCGGACTAATCATCTTTTCTTTTCAAATAATTTATGATGATACAACTAACACCATCTGAGAAAAGGTAGACTGAATTAATTCCAGAAAGGAAATGAACAGACGCATTCTAATTCAAGAAATGATCCACCAAAATCACGCAGTTGCAGCAAACAAAAAGGCAAGAAAAAACATAGAAAAGAATGTAACAGGCATAGTGGACCTGAGAACTCTCTGGGAGTAGCCTACACCAAGGTGTCCTCGTTAACTCAGATACGGTGCTGGGCTTGTCAGCTATTACAGGTGTCGCTCCTAAAACTCCATAGAAAAAAGTATCAAGCTAGAATTCACATTTGCTTACATGCAAGAAAACTGATTAAGACCCCAACCTTGTGTAGCAACAGAGACGGGAAGAGTCTGTTCCGCTTTGGGAGAGGTGGCGCCGCCATCTGGTGCGGCAGTCCCGGGCGGTGGGCCAGTGAAGCAAGAGTCCTTGGAATTGTCGTCCGGAGCGGTGGACTTCTCCGACGAATCTGCATTACCCTCCATCCCCTGAAATCAAAAGAAACCAACTTCTTGAAAAGGGAAATGAAAAAAGAATGACTTTTTCCCAGAAAGGCAGAGCAATTGATTCCATACTTTATTGACAGGGATTGGCCTTTGGCGCTTTGAAGACGGAGATTCATCGTCGGAGGAGGAGAGGGATCTCTTTTTGTTGTTGGAAGTTGAAGTTGAAGTGGAAGATCCACTTCGTCTTGTCGAAACCATCTCTGGAGCAAGGAGAGAAGAGTGCGACCCCGCGAATTTAAGTTCCTTCGTTTTCCCAGTCCTACTGAAATGAGGAGCTGGTGCGAATAATACATCCCCATACATTGTATGTATACATATATATACACACTTTATGTATGTACATGTGGGGAGTGTGAAAACCATTTGAAATATTATTACTGCCCAGTGGGGCAATTTTAATATCTGCATTTCACTGTCAATGACAGGTAATTTCCAAATATAGCAATGCGTATACTTTAGTGAAAATCTCTTAAAATAAAATAAGAATTTTTTGTAATTTTGAAAGTTAATCGTTCACCTTTTTTTTCTCGAAGAATCCTTAATTCATAAAAATAGCATTCAGTAGGAGGATAAAACTGGAAAAGAACCACAAATAACCATCCGCCCGTGGCCGAGACTGAGAGTTAACCACCTGTGCAAAAGCAGTATAACTCGCTAGACCGAAATTGGGCAATAAAGAGCTACTGACGGTTACCGCATCCTCTCCCTCCCCCAAACTTAATGCAATAGTCTTACAAGGAATAAACGCATAACAGAAAAACAAAACAGAAGAATGCAGAGTACTAAAATCGAAACAGAAAAAAATAAAGAAACCAAAACAAGTTTTCTTCCCCATAAACTTCCAACCCAGACGTGGCGGGTCTAGGGCGTCAGACCCGCCCCCCTCCGTTTTTTGTCCCCTCCGTGCACATGTCTTCAGCATCGACGCCTTGTCCAGTCTGAGCTACCCAGGTCCTCCTAATCTTGTATAAAGATAATCCATAATATCGTAGATTAGAAGCACAACAAAATACAGAGTAATTGATAGCACACAGATAGGGGTTGATAGCACACAGAGAACCTAATTTATTCAAATTTGTGTTTTTAACAATTGCTTTAAAAGTTAAGTACCTTCTGGTGTGATGACTGTTCATCTCCCAATGAGGAGGTCGCAGGTTCGAATGGCATCCCAATCAAAGATATTGACATTAACATGAACAGATATTATAGTAGGTTTAAAAGAATGTTCCAAAGAATAATAATTGCTTTAAAATATTAATTAAAAGGGGAAAAAAATATAAGTACCCCAAACTTTGATGGAGTGTGAGATAAAATAGCTCAAACTTGCATATGTAATATATACCGCAAACTTTATGTAAAAAATTATTTTCACACCACAATTTTGTTTTTTTACAAATATAAATTTATTTGAATAATTATATAATTTAAAATACTCTAGGCTTTGTTAGGATGCAATTAACTTTCTGAAATTTCATTTGTTAAATAAATTATATTACATCCGTTATAATTTATTTGTTATTGCATCCTCAAACTTGTTTTTTGTATTTTATATTATTTACTTAAAACCATAAAATTAAATCAATGAAAAACATATTATCATGGTTCTTACGTAACTTTTTATATAAAATTTGGGTATACGTAACTTTTTATATAAAATTTGGGTATGCATATTACATGTGTAAATTTGAGTGTTTATCTCGCACTCCCTCAAAATTTGGGATATTTAAATTATTTTTTCCTTATTAAAATGTTATCTTATTAGTATTAGTCATTCTATATGAGTTCCTATTTCAAAAAAAGTTCATTTTAGTATGGCTCTCCTAAAAGTCTAAAACACTCGGTGGGTCCCAATGAAAAGAATCTTTTTCATCATTAAAAGAGACAATTTTTCATCAAAAGTGCAATGTTTTCATCAACAAAATGCTTGTAGTGCCGTTGCTGCTTAAAAAACACATTAAAGTCAGAAGCGCTAACAAAATAATTGATTGCATTTTCTCCAAAATCACATAAAAAATCTTCTTTTAAGGAAAAAAACAATCGTAAACACTCTCTTGATCTCTAAGTTCTACTTACTAATTATATCACTCTTTGCTATGGTTGCACAAGAATAAATTGAACTCGCCGGCCCGAAACTACCCTACCCTGCTATTTTTAATTGGGTATTTTTTTAAAAAAAAATCATTGGTTAAATATATATGAACCTGCACCTAGGGGTAGGTTTCCGGAATTGAAGTCTCAAAATCGATGGTAGCCAACCGGATCGGAAGTTTATTTTGCTATTATTATGCTACAATGTTTTGTTGGATAATATATATTTAAAACCAATGTTCTCTATCATTGGTCTTACAATTTTTGACTATGTGGTTACTACATATGTTCTCTTTTAATTGTAACATTGGTTTTTTGGACTATTCACATATTCTATTTTGACTCTATTTTATGTATTAATGTATTATAAATTAAATTTAAAAAATATTATTAAATTCCTCTCATTTTAAATTTTCAAAATCTAATTTTTTTTAATTTTTTTACTAATAAGGAATGAAAGATATTAATGATCAAATTGTGAAAAATGAATCATTGCAATTAAAAAAGAACTGGAGAAGTATTATATAAGAAGTATTTACTCTTGTTTCTGAATGAACCGTCTTTAAGCAACGATGTTTTGGTATTGTTACCCAAGGTTTATGCTTACAAAAGGTACTTTTTTTTTAAACAAGTTAATCGAGATTAAAATTGGATACATTAGGTGCCCACATAAGAGATCCAATACAAAGTGATTTTCTTGTTCAATGTTCGACCCTACCCGGTCCATTCATGTACTGATGTACAGTTTACCAATTTATATTGCATATCGCAGGTTGATTAATAGTCGACCCTAATAAATTGGGTAGGCTAAAAAACATAGCAAACCCGATCCAACCCGTCCGATGTACAACCCTACTCCTCGCTAGGGAAATCCCCCAACTCCCGATCCTAACTAAGTGGAGACAGGATATGGATTTTTCTAGAGTTATGATCTCAACATCCCGACCCAACATTCACACACATAATTTTTTATTTAGTTTTTTTTTTAAATCTAAATTAGTCTTATATTCTAACACTAGAAATAGTTCGCGCGTTGCGCGAGTGTACCATGTCCAATGTTGAAATTTGTTTTACTTTTGGTGAGTTTTAGCGTCGTTTGTAAATGACTTTTGTTATAATCGTATTATTTTTAGGGAAAAATAATTAAAATATCCAAAGCTTTGAAGGGATGTGATGAGATAAGCACCTCAAACTTTCATATGTAATTTATATACCTTAAACTTTATATAAAAAGTAATGTGAACACCATGGTCATATATTATTTCTTTCAAAAATGTAAATTTATAGTTTTAATTTCATAATTTAAAATAGCAAATTAAAATCGTTGTAATTACATAGAGTGGGGGTAGTATTATTTATTTTACAATGGAAGTTTAGAATGTTAATTGTATCTTCATGAATGCTAACATGTTTTAAATTATGAGATTAACACAAAAAATTAACATTTTTGAAAGAAATAATACATGAATATGGTGCTAAAATGACTTTTTATATAAAATTTGATGTGTTTAAATTACATATGCATGTTTGGGGTGCTTATCTCACACTCTTTCAAAGTTTGGAGTATTTTAATTATTTTCTCATTATTTTTATATAGAGTACTATAATAGAATCGTATGTTATACTTCGTATCTTGACGGAGTTGCAATTTAATAGATGAAAAAACAATACGGATTACAGAGTAATTTTTTAGAATGAAAAATGAGGTAGTGTGTATAAGTTTTAGGTATGAGCAAATGATGTCAAGTGTTTAAGTATATGAGCTAATCAAAGAGTCAGTTTGGTAGCCCGAAAATCGGCTCATTTGGCTAATTCTGCTAAAATTTATGAAGTTTTGGCTGAAGTGACTGCATTGGCTGATTCTGCTAATTTAAGACCAAACTATTTTTAAAATATATTTTATTAATAAAATAAAGACAAAATCATATTTTAAAATAGTTAAAATGATCATCTGCAGTTTTCAGCCAATACACCCAGAAAAGTAACTCCAACCTTTCTTTTTTGCTTATTACACAGTTTAACGCGCGAAAACAAAAATTACGTGTTTGGTGAAAAAGTTGATTGATAAGTCTGATAAGCCGAAAAATAGTATTGTCAAATGGTCTCAAAAAGTTTTATTATACGGAGTATAAAAGAAAAATTGTAGTTTTGAGTACATCTATCAAGACAAAACTTTTATTAAACTGCCAAGGATGAAACAATTCAAAACACTAATTAATTCTTAGTTTTTGTTTAAAATGATTCCATAGTAACGATAGTTTAGGGCTTAAGGAGAAGCAAACATAATGTACAAGTAGCACTTATGGAGTGTTTAACTGACGGACTGAAACACCGTTGGTGAACTAACGATCTTCTAACATTACCATGATGCATAATCATTAGCATATATCATACATAACACAAAGTACATGAAGATATAGCACAATCTAGGAGTGTTTAACACATAACTCAGCATTTATTGAAAACTTCCGTCCTTTATAAGATAGGTTAAGATTACAATTTCCCTAAAACTATTAGGAAATGTAACAGTAGGCAACATAACTGTGACTCTTACTTCGAAACATTGTGCTACTTTGTAAATCACAACCATTTGGCATGCTTATACTTTGCTAGTACCAAACTCGATCACAAGATCCAATCACATGTTAGTATATTTTTATTATCAAGCACCATAGTTTCACAACCTAACATCCACACGTACTTAATATTGATCTGAGGGCTAATAATAATATGCTAAAGAATGGCAGCTCTAATAATGGTCACAGTTACAGGAGGGAGAACTATAACTCATCAAACTTAATTGAGATCTCCTTCATTCGCGGAGCATGCCGCCTTACCTATAAATGTAATGAAAGCAAAATGTCAGACAAAAATAATAACACTAACAACATTAAAAGCAAGAAAGGGTGTAAATTTTACATCTCTACTTCTTTTTAAGTATTTAAGACAGCATATCCTCGTTACCATTTACCACATTTCCATGTCACTATATGCACCACTCGTTGTAGTTTGAATAATTAACTTTCAAGTTTCAAATGTATATACAAAAGGATCCTCAATTGTTAACCTGATATCAAAATGATAATGCATTAATGCCATCCTAAAAGTTTAAAGGATGAGTAGTCTGAAATCTTATATAGATGTTTATTGATTCATATTTTAAAGTGTGACCACGGAGACATTCATATGATGTGTACACAGATGAAGTGTCTAATACTTCGACATGTGACCATCTTTTAACCCCTGGACATACTCGCATACTCTAACACAATACAGTAATACACTTACGTTGATGCCCGCCATCGATAAAAGTTTGTGAGAAGCAATATAGGTTGTATCACAGCTCTCCAACCTTTTCTCCACAAAATAAACAACCTCGGAAACACCAGACTGCAATTACAAGAATTTGTGTTACAACGTGAACCTAGATGAAAAGTGTACAACCAGGAAAACTAGTTATTCTGATTTAGCAATCATTATTTATCATACAGAATAACAATTGACAATTAATTAGAAGGTTGAGACATGAAGTCATCATCCGGTGTAAAGCTTTGTCACAATTTTTGCATGACTTGTGGTATTGTCTCATTTTTGACAAATAAAAAAAAACATATATTTCATGACACATTGCCACCAACCCAAAAAAAATGGGGTTAAGGACATGATGATTGAATAACCTGGATAATTATCTTTGCACATTCATTGCAAGGGAACATGGTGACATAGAGCCTCTGCATTATTACATTGCCAATACAGTCAGGATTGACAATTTGAAAACAGAGGGACCAAAGAAAGTGAAGGGTGTATAGATCAAAAAACTAAAGCTAACCTGCCCTGCAGCTGAGGCGTGATTTGTATTCAGGATAGCATTAACTTCAGCATGGCAGACATAACTACAAAATGAAGCTAAAGTAAATCAAATTTTATCTTTTCCTTTTGGGGGGTTTGTGCTGGGTGGTTGTTTTCAGAAAAGCATATTGATTGTTTTATTTATTAGTTATGATGTAATTATGTGAATATCAGATGAAGTATTTTGCAGATAGATGTTACTCACGGGTATTTTGTCTCCAAGGGATTTCCAGTTTTGGATTTCTAAAAAAAGTATTGATGTGTTAGAATACTCGACAGAAATGGTATGGATGATAAATCAGAAGTTCCTTATGTAAGTAATAAAACGAACCTTAGCCCAAGGAAGTTTATCATCTGAGCAACCACGTGGAAATCCATTGTAACCAATGCCTAGCTAAAAAATGGGCTTAGATATACATCATATAATCATATAAGGAGTATGATATTATTGATAATTGTGCATCTGTGCATATCAAGCCTATATCTGGTTGAAAGATTTTGGAGGAGAGCTAACAGCAGTAGTGGTATATTTTATCTAGATGGTTGAAACGAAAGGAAGATCAGAACATGTAAACACATACCTTAGTCCTTAGTTAACTAAATGTATAGTAATTTTCTAGTCTGAGACATAGATAAAAATATACTCAGTCTTTGTACAACAAACATCAATTCTCCCTTCCATAACCCTCCAACCAAACACACCCCAATACTCATACAACATAATTAGTTACACATTCTGAACATAGGGCCTTTATCAGTGCTTATACACCCCCACATAAACGTTAATAGAGTAACAAGAGTTCCTCTGGACAAGTATAAACAGGCAAGTCTAACAAGAGTGTATTACTACATTAGCTCTACATTATGATGCAGAACCATTTGTCAAATGCATCTTACCAAGTATTATTCCATTTTGGCTCACCAAACATGCACCAACCTGCAGAACATTAGAAGAAACAAGATTCAGGAGAACGTAGTAAAGACAAAAGGTTGCAAGCTGCACTAATTCAAATCATTAAAAGTAGACAGGAAAAACTGCAGGGATAGATACTTTTCAGTTTTCAGTTAGATACAAGATAAAACAGCCAGAGCTTAATATTATTGTGTTAATAGAAATACAAGAAAAACAATAAACACTTGATGTTTATTAAGCAAGAAAAACAATACAACCTGCAGGTACATAATATTAATACAAGAGAAACAACATTGCTGTTTTATAAAAAAAAACTAAATTGTACGGAGTATTAATATCTACTCCGTATATACAAGCACAACAAGTTACCTGCCTGTTGGGATCTTTGGAGCGCTCTGCAGACAGGAATGCAATGGCCATGAAATAATCATCCCACGACAAATAACTGCAGTTGTGATATACTCCGTAGTCCGTACAACATTTAAATACAGAATTATACTTTAAATAGAGGATAAACGCATTTCCAGTATATTCTTACCTTTCCCGTTTGGACGGATTAAATGGGCTCCTCAGTGAATGTTTCACTGCCCCACTAATTGCCAAGTCGGCACCGATGGACGGCGGGCGGAATTTTCGGCGGCTGACAAATAGACGAACTGCAGTGGCGTATGCGGCGGCGCCGATCACTCCGGCGACGGAGATCAACGCCAGATCTCTGGATTTCATATATAGACTGATAAGAAGACACTAAAGCGTCAGGTGAGAGGGATTTTGCCAGAGTCGAGAGACATCTGGGTTTAGTGATTTAGGGGAGTTGAAACTAAAAATAGCGGGAAAAATGAGAGGCAGACACTTTAGCGGGAACGCCGGGAAGTATTAGGGAGTGTTTGCGTTTGTTTGTGCTTTTTAAAAGTGATTTATTTAAGAGATTATTGGAAAAGTGATTTGTAGTAGAAGTAGGTAGTGTTTGTAGACAGAAGTGATTTTAAATAAAAGGTAAAAGTTGAAGTGTTTGATAAAAAAGTGATTTTTGATGGAATATTTTGTTAAAGTACAAAATTGGCCTTGCATAAACAAAATTGGAGGTCCATGGGTTCTTCCTACTCTTTCCTCCGGACTTGTCATTCCCCTGTGCCTGCAAGTCGGTGACTCAGTGCAGAAGCTGTCATACCCACAAAATTTGACTTGTTTCCACATCGAATTCATTTTCTCCGTATGAAACTGGGTTAGCAGCAGAGGAAGGTCGGACATGGAGTTACAAATCAAATGGCTAGAAACAATATTGCAATAACGTAATCGGAAGCATTGCCCATTGGGAAAATTAATGAGGGATTGATGGAATTAAAACTGGTAATTGAGAGGGAAGAGTTTGGAACGAAGAGCAATGGGTCGAATTGAAGTAGTGAGGTTTGCAAAACAAAGGTATGGACATGGCAGACTTGAGGAGTGCGGTGTGTGGCAGAACAAAGAAGATGACGGGGCACTGGTGAGCGCAGGGTTAGTTTGGGATTAATTGAAATATTCAACCTAATTATTATCCCTAAAGTTTGAATTAATTACAAAAATACCAAAAAGCTATTAGAAGCACCCTCCAACCAGCTTTGAGATTTTAGCTTAAAAGTGCTTTAATTAATCAGATTTTTGGGTTTGCAAACACCCTGTTTCGTTTTTTTTGAAAAAAAAGTTGAAAAGCACTTTTTAAAAGTGTTTGCAAACACACCTTTAGTTTCATAACTTTCATTACTCTAGGCGACAATTTGATGGAGGGCCTGGGCAGCTGGGCCTCCTATTTTTACATCTTCGGGGCTTATATCATATAAGTTATATGTAGTAATAATCTCATTTGAGTGCTAGATGTTTTTAGTAATCTATCTCAAACCAGATCAGACCAGATCAAAACAGATTAAACTAGATTTGAATAGTTATGAAAATACAAAAGAGATCAAACATTATCAGACCAAACTAGATCAGTCCAGACTTCGATTATTCTCAATGATTAATTAGAGAGCATAGTTATTATATACTCCATTCATCCAGTAATATACTTCCTAGTTTGATTTGGATTGGAGTTGGAGTAAGAAAAGAAGTACTCGGGTAAATAATTGATAGCCACACAAGTCTTTCCAAAAAGGAAAATGAGAATAATTTTTTAGACGTCCCAAAAACGTAAGTGAAAAAAATCCAAGGAGAGAGAGTACTTCATATATATATATATATATATAGGACTGCTCAGGTCCCTCCGGAGGGACGGGAGGGACCGTCCGAACTTTACTGTTTGGGGTGGTTTCCGGTGGAATTTTTTGATGAAATTTTTTGAGCATGTTCCTCATCAAGTCTAGTTTGTCCTTACCAAATTTCAGCTCAAAATTCGACCGGGAAGACAGTCAAATAAATTCTTGAAACTTACTGCACTTTATATATGCGCAGAATGTGCAGTAAGCTTCAAGAATTTATTTGACTGCCTTCCCGGTCGAATTTTGAGCTGAAATTTGGTATGGATAAACTAGACTTGATGAGGAACATGCTCAAAAAATTTCATCAAAATATTCCACCGGGAACCGCCCCAAACAGTAAAGTTCGGACCGTCCCTCCCGTCCCTCCGGAGGGACCTGATCTTTTCTGTGTGTGTGTGTGTGTGTGTGTGTGTGTGTATATATATATACATATATATATATAGGTTCATGTGAGAACTTCATGTTATGAGAGTTAAAAAGAATACATCTTAACCATTGGATTAGATTAAGATAATCTGTGCGCCTAAACCTTCATTAAGGGTAAGGAAGACATTTTGAATTGACCGTTTCTACAATCCCATATGTTACGTTGCATGAATCCTTATACAAGTATACAACCGTTTCTTTCCAATTTCCAAAGATATTTTCTGCATATTCGTTCTTCTCTTTGCTTGTGCGAACGTATCACAAGTATATTCTCCTTCGATCAGATTTCATCCAGAAAGAGCAAGCACTTAACGGATTTCGGTCCTCTTTCCGGCCTTACGTTCTTCTTGTTTCCGGCCTACGTTCTTCTTGTTGAATTTGAAGCTATTGGATTTGTTCTGCTGCGTTTTCAGTTTTTGGCTCCAGCCCAACGATTCTATGGATTTCAGTAAGTATCAAACGAATGAATTAAAGATTGGTGGCTACTAGACCGTCGGTTTTATGATGAAAAGGTGGCATCTTTTGATCATTTGAAGAAAAAGCACAAGGTTTTGTATGATGATGGTGAAGAAGAAATCTTGAATCTTGGTAAGCAACGCTGGGAAGTGATTAAGGAGACCCCCCTTGATAAAGACTGTGATGCAGATTCTCCTGTAACTCCTATTGTATCAGCCACGGAAGGAAGTAAGAAAGTAAAAGGTGACTCTTCAAGAAAACACAAAAGACTCACCTGCATTTCAGAGACAAAAAGGTCTAGACGCAAAGTGCAGCCATTCCTTGCAGAGAATGTTGAACAGAGCAATACAACAATGCAGGATGTGTGTGTGTATATATATATATATATATATATATATATATATATATATATATATATATATATATATATATATATATATATATAGGTTTTGGTTCAAATGAGAACGAGTCTTAACGTGAGAACGTGAGAACGCATCTCAACCATCCATTAACAAGAACCGATCTGCGCTCAATGGTAATTAAATCAAGGGTATTTAGGTATTCTATTCCTAAGCACTTATTGTAACCGACTAATGGCAATTAATTCATCCGGTCGACTATTGTCACCATTAATTGCATGGTGTTTGAAATAACGTACAAATGGAGTTGACTTTTCCATTTATGAAAAAAAGAAATTAAAACATCATTCCCTTTTTATTCAATTATCTCTCTCCTTGGTTGTTAATTGCCATATCATAGTTACATTTTTCAACATATATTTTCGTTTTTATGTTATATATATGAATTGTGAGTTGGATACAAGTTCATGTGCATTACATAAATGGGTTGTGTGTCATATACGTGTTTATGTGCATTACATATTTAGGGTTGTGTGTTAGACACTGGTTCTTGTGCATGATATACTTATTGTGATTCTCTTTCCATACTTTGTGCTAGATACGAATACTCCAACGTATATACATATTTGTGCTTTCAATACTAGTTCATGTGTACTATGTGAATCCTTGTGAGTTAGATATTAGTTCTTAATTGTTGTGTATTAGATAGTGCTTTTTTTATTAAAATACTTATTATGGTGCTTTGAATAAAAACTATGTGTGAGGTACCACTTCTCATGTGCATCAAATATTGATGGTTGTGTGTTAAATATGTGTTTTTGTGTGTGCGGAAGCTGAAAGGGTCGTTGTGATTTATTGCACACATATTGTACTATTTTTTCAAACAAAAAATTATACATGCAATATTGGTGTCATATGAAAGGTAATAAAAATTCATGTAATTTGATATAATTTTTTATAAAGTTGTATTATAATTTAAAAAGTTAAATCAATTTTAAATTAAAAACATTTTATATGATTTGTTTCTTTATTTTAACCTACCTTTTCGGATAAAGGCACTTCAACTCTTGCATTAAATGAAAACAAAAAACGGAAGATGCTGCCCATTAAAAGAATTTGTTTTGTTAATTACCATTTCACCCTTTCTTATTTGCACACACCTATCTCCGATTCTAAGAGGTAGTTTACAATGTGCGAAAGTGCATGGTTTTGTTATGCACTAATTACGTAATAGCCGGTCATTTTATAAGATGATTGGTTAGGATTTGTTCTCATTTCTCACAATAAGAGGTGTTCTCATTAGAACCACTCCCTATATATATATATATATATATATATATATATATATATATATTCTCTATTCAGCATATTCTTAATTTTTTTATATTAGATCACTAGTGGAACAAAGTTGCTTCATTGGAGGCGTTTTACATCGAAAGCACCTATATGGGAGTATGTGACTTGAGTTAACTATACAAATTTTGTATTCATTTAAGGTTTATTCATTTTACATTTTATACTTACATGGTGTGTTTTTATGTTTTTCGAACTTTTACCAAATCAGGACCTAAAAAAATAGACGAATTATCAACCAGGTACTCAAAAAATGAAATACATAAGTATAGAGCCCGAATGATGGAAAAGTTGGCAGAAACAGTGAACACCCAAAACTTTGCCTAGGAATATATTGATCAATCATGTTCAACTTTGACTAGGTATGTATTTTTATAGAAAACTATTTATAATTTTAAAATGAAATGAAAATAGTCTGTTTTTTTTTTTTTGGAAAGTGAAAATAGTCTTTGTTAAAAATATTTTAATAAAAGTATAAAATTTATAACTTTCATACTATTGTACTAATCAAGATCATGATCCAAACTTTACCACCATTTACTTGAAAATTGAAAAGTCAAAGATGTCAAAGTTTTACTGGACGAAAATAGTAATGTATAAATATAATAATAAATAATTAAAATAAATTAAATTAAATGGAGAATAAATTTAAACACGTCAATTTAAATTATTTCACATGTAATAATTTGCATGTGTAATACAAAAACCCAAATTCTATATAAATATCCCACACATATTTTTTATCCCACAAATGTAAATATTTATCTTGATAAAGTACATAATTTAAAATACTTTAAACTTTTACGAGGATGCATTTTTTAATAAGAATATAGTTAACATTCTAAAATTTCACATGTGAAATAAATACTACCGTAATATTTTCCTCCGTTTATGTAATTACATCATTAGTTTGGTATTTGCGGTACACGACTTTCATCACATACATACGGAGTATTTAATTGGCTAGGGTGGTAGGGACATTGTAAAATTATTTTAATGAGACAAATTTTATAAGCTATTTATATGTCTTCCAAAAAAATACTCCTTCCGTCCCAAAATCGTTGGCCAATGTTAACTTGCACGTGGATTAATATAGTAAAAACTGTGTGGTTAAAACTTGTGCAAAGGAGAGAGAATTAACTTTATCCACATATTCCTTACGTTAAATGGAAATGACCAACCTTTTTGGGACGGCCAAAAAAAAGAAATTTGGCCAACCATTTTGGGACGGAGGGAGTAGTTTTTTTAGTTTGCACCTCGTTTTATTATTCAAAAATTGGACTTTGCACCGCGTTATTAAAAATCTTTGTTTTTGCATCTCAAACTCATATGAAAAGACAAAAATGTCCATTCATTAACAATTCTGTTAGTCTTCAACATATTGTTAATTGAGAGCATTTTTGTTTTTTCATATGGGACTGCAATGCAAAAATAAAAATTTTAAAAAATAGTGTGCAAAATCCAACCTAAATTATCCCAATAATTATTTAGTAATTATCCGAGTCAATTCCCTAAATAGGACTAAAAAGTAGCAAAATTGCACAAATAGGACTACATTTTTTAAATTTCCTTAATAAGACTATTTATATGTGTTTGGACAAATATACCCTTGTAACTTGTGAAATGTTTTAATTAATAATAAAATCATAAAAAAAATAATAAAAAACGAAAAAAATACTAAAAATCGTAAAACAATAATAAAAAATTAAAAAAAATATTTTAAAAAAAAAATAAAAAAAAATTTAAAAAAAAAAAATCATAAAATTAAAAAAAAAACATTACCACCCCTGCCACCCCCCAGCACCACCATCTCCCATCATCGGAGAAAAATATGCCAACATTTTAAATAATGCCATAATGATGGCATATTCAATGAAAATGTTGGCATATTGAAGAGTAATTATGCCATCTTTTTGGCATTTTCAGAAAAATATGGTATTTTTTTATCAAAAGTGGAAGAAATTTCACCAATTGGAGGTGGTGGTGCTGGGAGGCGGCGGGAGGCAGGGAGAAAGGTATCCATAATTTTTTTCATTTTTTATGAGTTTTTACTATTTTTTATTATTTTTTTAAAAAAATTAAAAAAATAAAAAATTAAATTTTTTATTTTATAAATTTTTTATAATTTTTTTTACGTTTTTTAAATATTTTTTACGTTTTTTATGATTTTATTATGAATTAAAGCATTTCATTATGAATTAATACTTTTAGGGGTATTTAGGGTAGAAAATCAATATTTAGTCCTATTTAGGGAATTTTAAAAATAGTAGTCATATTTGTGCTTTTTAGGAACTTATTAGTCCTATTTAGGACAATTTCCGTAATTATCCCAATAAATTATCCCAGCATCTGCATCCCAACAAAAAAACCTATGATAGATGGGGAAGGGACGGACAACCGGTCATCGACAACCATGGTAGAGGGGGGAAGGCCAGACGGAGAAGCAGCGAACTATCAGTCCCTTCGTCGATGCGAGAATCGGGATTACGAGGATGATCCGTTACCCCGAAAAAGAAGAAAGTCCGTGGGGGGAGAGAAGGAAGGGAAGATGAGGAAGAAGGACAAGGGGAGGAAATCCGAGAAAGCAGCAGCGAAAAGTAGATCGGAGGAGGAAGAGCGGAGTAAGAGCGATGAACACCAGATGAACACCCGCCGCACACACTCGAAAGAGTATGAGGCCACTCGTCGACGCTTCAGAAAGCTGGGTAAATACGCCGTGAAGCTCTACAACCGGGAGAACGGAACCTGTTTTCAGATGGTGGACCTATTGAGTCACAGCGTTTCAATTGGTCTGTATCCCGATTTTCACAGACACATGAACATCACTGCCAAGCTTCCTCAATGGGACTCTCCCAGGCGTTTCTTCCTTGAGGTTAATGATTGTCCAAAACCAACATACTGCTTTATGGTAGAAGTTGATCCCGAAAATGCGGAGGGGTTTTGTCTTGATTGTCACAGAAATTATAAGGTCTTGCATCCGCCCTCTCGTGGCTATCGTGTGGGGTGCAACTTCCCAGAGGGTTACAAGGGACCTCGATTACCTCTAACAATCCAGGCCTTCCGACTCCTTTTGTGCCGTGACTGCCGTCGTACTTCAAATGTCAATCCTAGTTAATTTATGCTGCCAAAACATAACAGCAATTAGTTCTATTTTGAGAATAAAAATATGACAGTTTTATTTTGGAATTTTCAAACGTTTTAGGATCCCATTTAGATTCATTTATCATTTATGTTTGCACCATTGCTCTCTTAGGAGGAGTGCTGAAACAGTTTCTCCTTTGGTGTAGTATGTTTAAATGTATCCCCATCACTGATTGCTGCTATTCAATCAGAACTCCTATTTTGTGCTAAAAAAATTATTTAGTACATTAATAGGTCACATTTGAATATTTGATCTTTCCTTTATGAATAGTTGCCATCTAAATGAACACGAGTAATAAGCAGAAAGATAATGAGAAACACCACCTATATTTCATCTGGTATTCTTACATTTGTACTGAACAGTGATGAAATACATATTTAACCAACCAGAGTGAAGTCAAATTATTAAGATGAAGACGACAATGGAAAACGAGTTCAAAAATAAAAGATGATTATCTATCCAAACACTAATTACAAAGAAACCTGCCTCGCCTGTAATTAGAACAGGCACA